CCCACGCCCAGGTTTTTGCCTCATTGACCACCCAAGCTGCATGCCGCTTGGACTGCCGGTACCCATCAGCTGCTTCCGGGGTCCCACAGGCCAAAACGGCCTGATAGGACTCCTTCTTCAGCCTGACAGCATCCCTCACCGCCAGTGTCCACCACCGGGTTCGAGGGTTACTGCCGTGACAGGCACCGACAACCTTGCGGCCACAGCTCTGATAAGCCGCCTCGACAATAGAGGCGCAGAACATGGCCCACTCGGACTCAATGTCCCCCACCTCCCCCGGAACATGTTCGTAGCTCTCCCAAAGGTGGGAGTTAAAGCTCTGTCTCATGGGAGACTCTGCCAGACGTTCCCAGCAGACCCTCACAATACGTTTGGGTCTGCCAGGCATGACCGGCATCCTCCCCCACCATCGGAGCCGACTCACCACCAGGTAGTGGTAAGTGGACAGTTCCGTCCCTCTCTTCACCTTCTCACTGTCATTGCCCACATGAGCATTGAAGTCCCCCAGTAGAACAAGGGAGCCCCCAGGAGGCGCACTCTCCAGTACCCCCTCCAAGGACTCCAAAAAGGATGGGCTGACCTGCTGTTTGGCACATAAGCACAAAAGACAATCAGCACTCATCCCTCTACACATAAGTGGAGGGAGGTTACTCTCTCATTCACTGGGGTGAACCCCAATGTACAGGCACCAAGATGGGGGGCAACAAGTATGCCCACTCCTACTCAGCGCCTCTCACCAGGGGCAACTCCAGAGTAGAAGAGTGTCCAACCCCTCTCAAGGAAACTGGTTCCAGAGCCAGAGTCATACGTTGAGGTGAGTTCAACTATTTCTAGCCGAAACATCTCAACCTCACACACCAGCTCAGGCTTCTTCCCCACCAGAGAGGTGACATTCCACATCCCAATAGCCAGCTTCTGTAGCCAAGGATCAGACCGCCAGGGTCCCCGCCCTCGGCCACCACCCATCCCACATTGCACCCGACCCCTTTGGCCCCTCCCACAGGTGGTGAGCCCATGGGAAGGGGGACCCATGTCTCTTTTTGGGTGTACACGGCCGAGCTCCATGGGTAAAAGCCCAGCCACCAGGTGCTCGCCAGCATGCCCTACCTCTAGGCCTGGCTCCAGAGTGGGACCCCGGTGACCCACGTCCAGGCGAGGGAACATTTATTCCATTTGTTTTGTGCATCACAGGGGTCTGTGGGCTGCACTTTATCTGGTCCCTCACCTAGGACCTGTCTGCCTTGGGTGACCCTGCTAGGGGCATGAAGCCCCTGACAGCATAGATCTTAGGATCATTGGGACACTCAAAACCCTCCACCATGGTAAGGTAGCAGCCCAGGGAGGAGTAGTACAATTATAAGCATTCCTGTCACAATCCTCACAGTTGGAACCCATTTGCAGGGAGGCGAACGAGGCAGGAGTTTAAATAAAAATAATTTATTTAAATAACAAAACAAAAGGCTGTCGGTGCAGCAAAACTTACTTTGGCAAAACAGGATCAGAAACAAGGCTGAACAGGACATCAGAGTACACAGGCAGAGCAGATCATCAGGTGGACAAAAACAGACAAGACAGAGGAGGACTGAGATGTCTGTAAATACAGAACAATGACCGGACAAGGAGTGGAGGAGAGAAAGGCTTTTTATAAGACAGAGGGAGAGTGAGTAATGAGAGCACCTGGGCAGGTGGCTGATGAGGGACAGGTGTGAATGATAAAGACTGAGGAGTGGAGAGGCAGACTGAGGAGTGAGTGGAAAACAGGACCAGATACACAGGAACAGAAACCACACAAAGAGCAGAACAACAAGAGCACAAAAAGCAGAGTGGGGGACACAAACACAAACAGAAACAGGAAATGGTACAATCCTTACACATTCCATTGATTTTTTTTACTTTTTATTGACAAATTCATCCAGACTAAGCAAAGACTTAATATTTACGGTATTGACTTTTCTTCTTTAAGACTTCTGCAATTCATCTCAGCATGCTGGATATCACAGTTAAAGGTAAACCTAGAGTTATCAGACTGAGGAAACAGATTCAAAAACTTTTAATATAATAAAGTGATTTTATTTACAGTGAAGTGGTATATACACTATGCACAACAGGGGAACAAGGGAAACCCGGAGAAGGAGGAAAACAGTAAGGAAGATTGTAATAAGGGGATGACAGGTAAAAAATAGATTGTCTAGATCTTACAGGAAGGTAGGTGGATTGCAGTGTTGAAAGGAGAGCAGATGATTTCTAGTAGGTATGGTCCAGTGTTGGTGTGCATAGGAGGATCGTAGAGGTCAGTTGATAGGCAAGTGGTTAAATGACAGCATCTGCAGTATTGTGGACTCTGTACCAGTCCATTGTGGTGAAAAGGGAGCTGAGCTGTAAGCCAAAGCTCTCTGTTTACAGGTCACTCTACGTTCCTACCCTCACCAATGGTCACAAACTCTGGGTAGTGACAGAAAGAATGAGATCACAGATACAGGCGGTTTAAATGCGTTTCCTACACAGGGTAGCTGGACTCTCCCTTAGAGATAGGGTGAGATGTTCAGTTATCAGGAGAGACTCAGAGTAGAACCACTGCTCCTCCACATCCAGAGGAGCCAGTTGAGGTGATTCAGGTATCTGGTAAGGATGATTCCTGGGCACCTCCCTAGATAAATGGACTGTACTTATATAGCACCTTTCTATCTTATGAAGACACTCAAAGTGCTTTACGATAAAATATGTGTCCTAAATTACCCATTCATACAGCACTCTACTAGATCTCTACAAAGATAATTTAACAAATCATTCTAAAGAGACTAATCAGAGCTCTATCACATTCATACACTGATGGGCCACACATCAGGAGGGAGTTGCTTTAGTCATGTCTGACTGGGAGGAGACCCCGGGAATGATCCAGGACTCGCTGAAGAGACTATGTCTCTCGGTTGTCCTGAGAATGCCTTGGGGTCCTCCCAGAGGAGCTGGTAGAGGTGGCTGTGGAAAGAGATGTCTGGATCTCCCTGCTCTATGCTCTAGTTGATGCCCCATGACCTGACTTCGAAATAAGCGGAAGATAATGATGGACATTGTTCAAGGCAGCACAGAGTGATGGATCCTGGAGAGGGAAAAGACCAATTTTTTCCACCTTAAGTTGCAATGATGAGGTGGGTCATAAAAACTAGGAATAATAGTTTCTAGGGCTGAAACGATTCTTCAAATTATTCGAGGACATTGATTACAAAAAATACTCGAGACAAATTTATCTGTCTCAAAGCTTCGTTAAACTATTCAGAGCACTGTGGTCTAGCCGGAAGGTTTTTGTGTTACACAAAGCTGGCGCTCCCGCTAGCACTTCCGCTAGCACTTCCGCTAGCACTTCTGCTAGCACTTCCGCTAACGCATATGTGCTGTTTTTTTTTTTATTAATAATTTTTTTTAATGTATTTATTTTTTTATGTGCTAAGATTGTAGCTATGGAGGGAAACGGAGACTGCGTATAAGAAGAGCCCCGAAGACAACAAAAACTGTCAAAGTTTGGGAACATGTTAGACTAAACAGAAAAGACAACACAGCTCAATGCTTCCAGTGCAAACAGAACTGGAGTAACCACAACAGCACGTCGTCCATGTTGCAGCGTCTGAAGAGAAAACAGCTGCTGTAGCATCAAACTCGTCCACAGCTGGAACAGGTATCATGCTCTCTTTGCAAAATACGTTAAAATAAATGTGTGATCATCTGTCATGTTATAAATGTAAAATGAGACATATTGTTGCTAATGTTAAATCTACTGACTGATCATAGTGGCTTCCTGGCAGAGTCTGAACGTTGTGTGAGGAAATAAACTGCAGGACTTGATGAAAGTTTGTTAAAGATAAAAGCAGCAACAAACTGACACATTTATTTATTGATGAACTTCCATCCTGACTTAATGAGATACTTAGGGTGAATATTTCAAGTGTAAATGTTTTTAAACGAGTTAATAGGATTTTTTGCTTCTACTGCTGTTTATGACTGAAAACTGATTAATCTGCATTTATTACTACGGTCATATTTGTTTATAGCTCAGCAATCAAGACTAAATAATAATACAGTCTGCAGAACTCAATGTACAAACTGTACATTATCTATCTTACTCAGTTTATAACATAAAGATTTCTTCAGTTTCCAATCCATAAAAATTATTTACAGCATTTAGATTTTTATGTGATGTTTAAAAATAATTCAATTTAAGCAATAAAATATTTTAAAAAGATGAATTAAATGGGTTGTTTATTTAATGGTTTTTCATGCATTTGTATCACTCATAAAATGAGTACGGTAGTTACTGCAGAACCTGACAATTTTTTTTTCAATGACCCGATCAATCACCAGAATAATCTATAGATTACTCGATTACTAAAATATTCGTTTACAACACCCCTAATAGTTTCCCCAAATTATAAGTATGTAGCCTACTGAATGGTGGTGGCCAACTTGGATTTCGATGTGGCAGCCCAATTTTTGAAAGCGAACTTTCTTATGCAGCGGCTGTGGCTGAGTGGATAAAGCAGATGTCCTCCAATGTGAGAGGTGGGGGTTCAATTACATCAACAGTCACATGCTGAAGTGTCTCTGGGCAAAACACTGAACCCCTCATTACTTCCGATGTGTGTCCCATCGGTGTATGAATGTGAGAAAGCACTGATTAGTCTTTAAACAGACATAGTGGAGTGCAATATGAATGGGTAAATGAGGGCACATATTTTAGTGTAAAGCACTTTGAGAATATAGAAAAGCACTATGTACAGTAAGTACAGTCCATTTGTCATTTATGCCTAGATGCAGCCACACACCAAAATGGAAGTCGGTTACTCCTTTTTTTCAAGTTGGCATGCTCACGACATACAAAGATGGCCGAAAGGTTTTTCCAATTTTCTCTTTTTGCTCCACGATAGGAGATAAAAACAGCAAATTCACTGAAACATGACACATTTCCATTTTGTCCAAAGTGAGACATGGTTCAAGCACTGTTGATGAAATCAGCACTCTGTCTAGAATGTGCTTATACAAAGGCTTAAACTGAAAGTTATTTAGCTAACTGACAAGCCTGCTTTGTATTTCAAATAGAAAGTTATTATGTTTACTTACTGAAAAGATCCGAACTTGGTTAGCGTTTTCTTTGCCACATAAAAATTTAGCTCGTCTCCTGGTGAGGCGCAGCTCCTCGATCCGTGGGGGTTTCACAAACACCACGTATGGTTTGAAATCAAAGGAGTACACATACTTTATTTTCTGTAAAGACAATAACACACAGTAAAACAATCATACAAACAGCCTTTCTAAGATGCATGGGGACTCTGATAACATAAAAACAAAGAAAACATTTCATATCTTTCTGATTCACATCCATGTTCAATTTAATGAGAATTGTAATGGGCTGCCAATATGGAGAAAAAAAAGCCACAGTCTTCAACTGAGGTCAAAACAGCACCACTGACAGTAAGCTACAGAGCCAACCTGCATTGTCAGATGGCAAAAACTACTGTATCTGTTCAACACTGATTCCTGGTAGAAATACAAAACTGTCCACTAAAATCATCACAGGCTTGGCATACACAACATTCAGAGGGACACTCTGAATGGACTGTACTTACATAGCACGTTTATCTAATCAAGATACTCAAAAAGTTCTTTAAAACATTTTTTGTGTCCTCATTTACCTCCACACACACATTCAAACAGCAATCCACTACATCTCTACAAAGGTAAACTGAATCTGTAGAGACTAATCAGTGCTTTAGATCACATTCATACACTGATGGGACACACATCAGAGGCTATGAGGGGTTCAGTGTCTTGCCCAGAGACACTTCAACATGTGACTGCTGGTGGAATCGAACCCCCAACTCTCCCATTGGAGAACATCTGCTCTAACCACACAGCCACAGCTGCCACTCTGAGCTAGCCTTTTCATTTTTACCAGAACAGAACAGAGCTTACATGAACTGCAGCATAAAGTTATCAAATACTTGAGAACTAAATTCTCACAACATATAGAAGGAAATGTGAGGGCACAACACATTTCTATTATTTATGGTGGCAAAGATCCACTTTTCAGTTTAAAAAAAATAATTGTAGAATCACAAAGGATAGACAAAAAGATCTCCATTTTGGGTAATTCTTCTAAAATGGTTTGTCCCTCTGACAATCCAAACAGCCTAATACGGAACATGAGATAATCAGTTGGCTGATTTTTGGAAGAGATTTTTTTACTTTTTTACAAGAACTAACAAAAAGGACAGCTTCTGATGTCTAACGATATAAATATGGATCATACGATTCTTTGAATCCTGCAGGTCAGGTTGCTGGTGAAGATTCTCAGTCATACAGGACATGGTGAATTCAAAAAGCATTCAATACAAAAACAACTGGACTTTATTTGTAACAGAAGACGTTTCGCTCCTCATCCGAGGAGCTTTCTCAATTAAAACAGCATTGAGTGAGAGATTCAGGTTATAAGGCTGAGTGAGATAAGACACACACACACATATGTAGATTGGCAATTCACACCTAAACACCTTAACAGTAGGGGGTTTCTTAAAGTCTTTGTTCCTCTAATTCACAGATGAGGCCCCTCTGTTCCCATCAAGGGTGAAAACTGGCTGGGAATCTGTTTTAAAGTTGCATTATAGGTTTTTGAAAGTGGAAATATGAAGGCCCCCTCCTCTGTTAAGAGACGGCTTTTCTCTTTTTACATAAATTGCTTCCTTCACCCCCCTCTCAAACCGTCTGTGTTCTCGGTCCAAAATGTGCACATTTTGGTCCTCAAAAGAGTGTCCCTTATCTGTGAGGTGGAGGTGAACAGCTGAGTCTTGTCCTGTGGAGCTGGCTCTCCTGTGTTGAGTCATGCGTCTGTGAAGAGGCTGTTTAGTTTCTCCAATGTAGACGTCTGGACAGTCCTTGCTGCACTGGACCGCATACACTACACCACTCTGTGTGTGTATGGGTGTTTTGTCCTTAGGGTGGACCAGCCTCTGTCTGAGAGTCCTGCTGGGTTTGAAATGTACTGGGATCTTGTGTTTGTTGAAGATCCTTCTGAATTTCTCTGATACTCCAGCAACATAAGGGATGACAATGTTTTTCCGCCTGTTGTGCTCCTTTTTCTGTTTATTAATGTGTTTTGTAGATTTCCTCGCTGACTTGACAAAAGCCCAGTTAGGATATCCACATGTTTGAAGAGCTTCTTGATGTCATGAACCAGAGGCCGGATCGCAAACAACAACAACAACCACTGAGAGGGTTAAAAGATTTATTGTGAAATAACATAAAACTCTGGAGTAGGTCCGGTTCTGGGCTGGTTCCGATCTTCTGATTGGTAGTTCGTGATTGGGTAGTGTTGTAGTGGCGGGCTGCCAGTAGAAGTAGAACTGATGTTAAGGTCCACTGGAACGGAGTCCAACAGGCTTGCAACTAAAAGATAAAGGTTAGTAGATGCAGGGGGAAAGAGACTAATTGGGGAAATGAATCTGTGGGAATCAGATTCAGGGGTAAGGATAAGTCCGTGATACAGAATGAGCTTGACCTTTAATCCGTGATCCAAAAAACAGTCAGAAGGGAAAGGCAGAGTTCATACCGTGAAGTCAGTTGTTCAGCAGAAGTATCCAGTACGTGATCCAAAAGAGAGTCAAAAAACAAGAGCATGAGTCGGTACCTGATCAGATGAGCAAAAGCAGACGAGGGCTGAGGCAAAAGCGTGGTCGTGGTCAAGGCAAGGGTCATGAACGTGATGAGTCAATCAATGGAATGCTGGAAAGTCTACTGCTGATGAGACAGGATAGAGAATCTGGCCCAGACTGAGAGGAATGAGTGAGCTTAAGTACTGACTGGACCAGGTGGTGGAGCTGTGGGATAATGAGCGGTGACAGGTGACATGAGTTGAGTGATTACTGAGTGTGCAGCATGACAGAGGAGCTGACAGAGAGCAGAGCTATGACACTTGAACGTGTTTCTGTTCCTTTTCCTTCTCTCCTGTCTTCGTGGGGATGCGTTCGGCCTGATGCTGTAAAGTTCTGATGACAGAGAGTTTGTGTTCCAGAGGATGGTGGGAGTCAAACAGAAGATACTGGTCTGTGTGGGTTGGTTTTCAGTAAACTTCAATGTTGAGGGTGTCTTCTCTTTCCATCTGAACCAAACAGTCCAAAAAGGCAGCTTGTTGTCATTTGCATCCTCTCTGGTGAACTTGATGTTGTTATTGACCAAGTTAATGTGTCTGGAGAACGCTTCTATTTCCTTAGCTTGGATTTTGACCCAGGTATCATCTACATATCGGAACCAATGGCTTGGCGTTGTTCCCTCAAAGGAGTTTAGGGCTCTCTGTTTCACTTCCTCCATGTAGAGATTGGCAACAATGGGTGACACTGGAGATCCCATGGCACAGCCGTGCTTCTGTCTGTAAAAACTGTCATTGAACTTAAAATAAGTGGTGGAGAGGCAGAGGTCCAGCAGGGTGCAGATCTGGACTGGGGTGAAGTTGGTCCTGTTGATTAAGTCCTTGTCTTGTAGAAGTTGTTTTCTGATGGTTTCTACTGCTTCAGAGATGGGTATGCATGTGAAAAGAGAAGTCACATCATACGATACAAGGGTTTCTCCTGGGGTTAGTTTCAAATGTTGAAATTTGTTGGTAAATTCAATAGAGTTCTTTATGTGATGAGGTGTGTTTCCAACAAGAGGAGCTAAAATATCAGCCAGATGTTTAGCAATATTGTATGTCACTGAGTTCATGCTGCTGACGACGGGTCTGAGTGATGTTGGGTAATTCTCCCTTGTAAACCTTAAAGAAAAATTTCACACA